GGATTGTAAAAATCCAATGGAGTTGGAATTTCAGTGCTGATATTTGCTTCTCATGAGATTCAGATATGCAAACCAACGGATGATTCTAATAGCTACTGTGATAGCAAATCCAATGGACTTGGAATTTCATCAGAAGTTTTAACAAACTCAGATCTTCACGAACTTGAAATTCCAGCTGAAGAGATAACTACACCCCCAGAGTCACTCGAAAATGACCAAACAGGGACCAGGACTACTTACAAAAGGACTCTATCTGGACGTCTTAAGAGCCCAAGGGCTGAGGTGCCCAAAACTTCTATATTGAAGAGGATTAACTCTAAGGAGGCAGAAAAATCATACCAATTAGGACATCAGCTCTCACGCAAGTGGACAAGTGGGGCTGGGCCAAGGATTGGATATGTTGCAGACTACCCTCCAGAACTGAGACAACAGGCCCTAGAGTTTGTCTGCCTATCTCCAAGAACTCCCCATTCCCCTCGGACCCCCTCAGCCTCAAGGCCCATGGGTGACCTTGCATCACTTTCAGCTGAACCCAATTTGGATGTTTGTGGCCATGACGTTGATGGGACTTCTGGTGTCCGAGTATCCTGAATCAGCATCAAGTTTTGTGCTTCTACCCTAGTGGATGCATTAGTGAAATGTATATATCTAGTACGCTCTTTATGCCACTTGAACCAGTCTAGAAGATAAGTATCTAGTCACTTAGCTGGTGGCTTCCCACCTTCAGGTTTTGTCTCCTCTTTTCTCCGTTAAACACCTCCCTTGATAATAAGGTTGAGCTAGTTATCAATATACTTAGAAATCAAATTTCTGAGCTGTTTGATGGTACTCATATAGATTAAGTTTTTAGGTTTCTTGTGTTTTTATTCTCAAGTTGAGTCTGTTCACGTATTACCAATTTTCTTCTTCAAGTAAGCCCCAAACTAAATCAATGGAATACAACAGGAAAAGCATGTCTGATCCAGAGATGTTGTTATTATTGGTAACATAAGTTCCAAAATAGCAAATCTTGATTGGAGAGCAGCTGCTTGCTGGAAGTGATATTCATGTTTTGCTGCATCATCATTAATCAGCACAAGTTATCCACTATCCTGTCTCTTGTAACTGTTGCATGATTGACATCCACATAATTAACTCAAGAAAATTTTCATTCTTCGTTTTTTTGTATTCAAGAACAAGAATAAATGAAATGAAATGGTGAAAATTTTACCATAAAAGAAATGACGATATGTTGTGTTGCCATTCCATTTTTTTTTTAAAAAAAATTTTGCAATTTTGTTATTCCTATAACTCTTTGCAGTTTGCATTACATGGAGCCCTCACCCAACATGAAGCCCTCACCCAAATCAATTGCCATGGCCCATGATCCCAATTGATCCCATGATCTTAGTGTCATCATTTTTAATTTCCTAATGTGCCAGGTTTCTCCTTATAATTTTGATTATCATCATCAAACTATGAATCATTATATTTGATGAAATTTTATGTCAAAGTGATTGAAGGACATTCCTCACAAATTCAAATCTGACTTCAAATACTCAACAGTTGATTCTTCACATGATGCTTCCGACCCTATTTTTCATGGAGATCAGAAGCCATCATCATCATTACAGTTTTAATAGGGGATTTGACCCCTTTTTTTTTTTTTTTTTGAAAAGCAAAAGAAATATCATAATATTAACTGAGTACAAGGGTACTCAAACCCATAAAATATCATAATATTAATTGAGTACAAGGGGATTTGACCCTCTCCTAACATTATATTAAGAGAGATTTTGGGTTTTTCTCTTTCACAAATGGGGTTGTATTCTTTTTTTATTAGAATTTATTTCTTTTGGAGTGGTGAGTGAGTTTGTGAAAAACTTTACTAGTTAATGGTTAACTAAACAGTAAATTTTTTTCCTGAATTAGCTGGACATACGCAGAACATCCAGCAGGATGAATACTGGATGGAAGATGTACCTAAGGTGGTGCAAGGTCTGGTCATCAATGAGAAGCCAGTAGGTAGTAGTGTAATTAATCCATGTGCATGCACCTTTCTTTTTTATTTTTTATAATCTTCTAGTAATCAAATGTTACATTAAAATTTGATTAATTTAAAATCAAAATATATTAAATTTCATAAAGAAAAAACTCTTTTAATACATATTTTTTCATTTATAAAAATTTAAATTTAGGATTTTTATTTAAAAATAATCAAATTTTTTCTATTAAAATTAATAAGTTTGATGTTTGCATGTAGTCTTTTCTTTGGGTGAAATGTAGTAGGAATAAATTCACGTAAAAAATGGAAAAAATCTGGAGGTT